GAAGAATCTTCGTGTTTGCAACGACTGCCACTCGGCCTTGAAGTTTCTTTCACATATTTTTGACCGCGAGATTGTGGTTAGAGATGGAAATCGATTCCATCACTTCAAAGGAGGTGTGTGCTCTTGCAATGACTACTGGTAAAAGGTAGCAGGCTTTTGCAGATATATGTAATGCTCAACTGAGTGTAGCATCGGTGTGCAGCCCACGCCTAACTGGTACGTTTCACAACCCATATAACAACTCATCAGAATCCTTATAACTGGAATGTCCAGCAGGTCTGTTGTCGTCTTGTTGATTTTTATAATCTTTGGGGTGGCTGGAATGATTAGAGAGATTGGAACAAAATAGAGTATTGGGTCTTTTTCAATAATCCAATAATTGTTACAATTATTTGGATTAATGAATTGTTAGATAATATAAATTATGAACTTTAGGAATCAACTTGAGTAGTGGTTAAGTACCATACATGGGCCTGTATAAGATCCAACATAACCTTCTACCAACAACTCGAGTTATTGGGACCAACTGGTTTATGACATGGACTCAAGTTGTTGGGAGAAGGTTATGCTGGATCTTATACAGGCCCATGTATGTGATAAGAGAGAGTATTAAGTGGAACAGAATAGATCCTCCACTATGTTACCGTTTGAGTGGTTCCTTGATTGTAGCACCCTCTACGTAGGATTTGCATTTTCTGTTGCTGCTGTACTTGTATAAAAACCAATATTCAGTAATGTAAAACTCAGATTTCCAGAGACAATTTCATGGTATCAGAGCCTCAGTAGACTCCAACGAGTGCTCTGCTGTTCTGATTCTTTTTCTCTTCTTCCCCCATCCCTGTTTTTCTTCCTCTGGTTCTTCTTCCTAGTCGCTCTAACTATGTCGACTATTTCCAGCTCCACCTCTTCTTCTGCAGCAGCTTCTTCTTCTTCCTCTTTTCCCATCTCTTTACCTTCCAATCCCCAACTGTCTGTGAAATTGTCTCTGGAAATCTGAGTTTTACATTACTGAATATTGGTTTTTATACAAGTACAGCAGCAACAGAAAATGCAAATCCTACGTAGAGGGTGCTACAATCAAGGAACCACTCAAACGGTAACATAGTGGAGGATCTATTCTGTTCCACTTAATACTCTCTCTTATCATGAAATTGTCTCTGGAAATCTGAGTTTTACATTACTGAATATTGGTTTTTATACAAGTACAGCAGCAACAGAAAATGCAAATCCTACGTAGAGGGTGCTACAATCAAGGAACCACTCAAACGGTAACATAGTGGAGGATCTATTCTGTTCCACTTAATACTCTCTCTTATCACGCCCCCGCAAGTGGAACCTCGACGAGGTGAAACTTGGAGCAGAAAGTCCGGAAAGGAATGCGAGACAGTGGCTTCGTGAGTACGTCAGCAAGCTGATCGGTGGCTGGAAGATAACGCACATGTAATTGCTGTTTGTTAACTCTGTCCCGGACAAAGTGAAACTCGATTTCAAGATGCTTGGAGCGAGAATGAAAGACGGGATTATGAGCTAGATAGGTAGCTCCCAGGTTGTCACACCAAAGAACAGGGGCTTTAGTGGACTGTCCAAGCTCGGTGAGAAGAGCTTGAAGCCAAATGACCTCAGATGCTACCGTGGCCAGAGCTCGATATTCACACTCGGTAGATGATCTAGCAACAGCCTGTTGCTTTCGTGTAGACCAGGAAACCAAATTCTGGCCATAGTAGACTGCATAACCAGAAATCGACTTACGATCACGGGGACAGGAGGCGAAAGAAGCATCGGAATAACCATGGAGCTGTGGCTTGGAGGATCGTTGGAAAAGAAGACCCTGAGTAAGTGTGCCCTGGAGATAACGGAGTATTCGCTTCACGGCTGCCCAATGAGCATCGGTCGGACATTGCTGGAATTGGGACACATGATTGACAGCAAAGGATATGTCGGGGCGGGTGAAACTCAAGTACTGAAGGCCCCCCACAATGCTCCGGTAGAAACTTGGATCATGGAAGGCAGGAGAGACGTCTGATGCACTTTGGATCAGCTGGTCAGCTGAGCAGGGTGTAGTAATAGACTTCGACTGAGACATCCCTGACCTGTCCAGCAGTTCCAGAATGTACTTCCGCTGACTGAGAATAAGACCGTCTGATGTGTAGTGGACCTCCAAGCCGAGAAAATATGACAACGGGCCAAGATCACGGAGAGCAAATTTAGACCGAAGATGAAGCAGGAGCTGCTGAAGAAGCCCAGAATCATTGCCTGTGATGACTATGTCATCCACATACACAAGCATATACAGAACAGTAGTGGGAGTGCGGTAGATAAACAGTGAAGGATCAGTCTTGGAAGCAACAAAACCAAACTCACGAATGGCCTGAGATAAGCAGGTGAACCATGCCCGCGGAGCCTGCCGCAAGCCGTAGATAGATTTCCGCAGACGGCAGACATGATCAGGACGGTCGGGATCGACGAACCCAACGGGTTGCTGCATATACACCTCCTCCTGCAAAGTTCCATTCAAGAAAGCATTTGAAATATCAATCTGGTGAAGGGGCCAGGAGTTGGAGACCGCAATCCCGAGCAAGAGGCGAAGCGTGGCCGGCTTCAAAACGGGGCTGAATGTTTGGCCGAAATCTTGACCGGGAATCTGTTGGAATCCACGAGCCACAAGCCGTGCCTTCTGCCGCTCGAGGGAACCATCAGGGTTGGTTTTCTCAGCAAAAACCCAACGATTGGTCAGAATATTGCAATCTGGTGGAGGGGGAACCAAATCCCATGTATGATTGCGAATGAGAGCATCAAACTCCGTGTTCATCGCGGCACGCCAAAGGGGAGACTTAAGAGCCTGCGCAGCGGTGGTGGGTACGCCAGTAGGAGCGGCGGCCAGGAACTGACGAGGTTTTAATTTACCCGTTTGTGTCCGAGTGGTCATTCGTCGGGGAGGAGAGGGCTGGGCAGGAACAGGGATGATGCGGGGAGAAGTGTTGAATGGAGGTCTGGACGAGAGAGGGATTGGGGAAATTGGTTTGGAATGGGAAGGGGAAACGGAGGTGGAGGGGAGAGAAGGGGCAGGGGAGGAGACAGGAAGACGGGAAGGGTGATTGCGACGGTGATACTGAAGGAGGGGCGGTGGAGAGGAAGGAGCAGGAGGTGGTCGGCGGCGGTATTGGAGAAGAGGCCGAGAAGAGGCTGTTGGTACAGTGGGCTGAGGTAAAGGAGCAGGTGAGGTGGGCTGATTGGGCTGGGTTGGGGGTTGTGTTGTGGGCTCAGGGGAGGGGACTGACGTGGGCTCAGTGGGCTCAGCGGGCTGAATTGGCTGAGGGAAGGAAGGAAGGTCTGCGGGCTGGGAGGGGGATGGGGGGGTCTTGGTGGGCTGGGCGAGGGTAGCGGGCTGGACAGAAGAAGAGACAGGTGGAGAAGGCGATGGGCCGTGGAAAAATGGAGGATGGGGCAGGGAAATAGGGTCGGGTAGAAAAGCATCAGGGGAAAGAGTATCGGGTGAAGTAGGAGGAGTATCTCGAAATGGAAAGACCGATTCATCAAAGAGTACATGGCGACTGACATAGATACGACCAGTTAAACGGTCAAGACAGCGATAACCTTTATGCAGATGGCTATAACCCAAGAAAACACAGGGAGTAGAACGAGGTTGAAGTTTATTTGAAGTGAGAGGACGCAGCCAAGGATAACACAAACAACCAAAGACACGAAGATTGAGAAGATCAGGGGAAGAATGAAACAAGGAAGTGAAGGGAGAGGAGTTGTGAAGAAGAGGAGTAGGAGTACGATTGATGAGATAACAGGCCGTATCGAAAGCAAGAGACCAATATTTTAGGGGAACATGAGCATGATGTAACAGAGCAAGCCCATTATTAACAATATGACGATGCTTTCGCTCCGCACAACCATTTTGTTCAGGGGTATAAGGGCAAGAGGAACGATGAATAATGCCATTATCAGAAAGGTAAGAAGTCAAGGCTTGATATTCACCACCCCAATCAGATTGAAAAATTTTAATGGGGAGACCGAAGAATTTTTCCACCATTTGCCGAAATTGAATAAACACGCTCATGAGTTGAGATTTATAGCGCACAAAATACACTCAGCTGAATTTACTATAATGATCATAAAATAATATGTAATAAGATTGATGATCATAAGAAAGAAGAGGGGCAGGACCCCAATCGTTGATGCCACAAATCAAGAGAGTTACTGAATATTGGTTTTTATACAAGTACAGCAGCAACAGAAAATGCAAATCCTACGTAGAGGGTGCTACAATCAAGGAACCACTCAAACGGTAACATAGTGGAGGATCTATTCTGTTCCACTTAATACTCTCTCTTATCAGTATGGTACTTAACCACTTCCTTACACGCCCCCTCAAACGAAAGCCGACTCATGGGCTTGAAGTTTGCACAGGCCCGCCATACCATGTGCTTGAAAGACAATGGTTAATATTGGGGGTCGTGAGGACTTGAATACGTGACCTCAAGGACAAACCAGGCTCTGATACCATGTCATAAACCAGTTGGTTCCAATAACTCGAGTTATTGGGACCAACTGGTTTTTGACAATCTGTGTCTCAGCTCAATCCCATTTTCTGTCTAGTTACCACTGGGAACATTTGCCTGTCACTGTCACATCTCGGCCATCCTCAAAGTTATCGCAGTGGGAAAATACATTCCCCTCAAACTTTTGAGACTGGCCTTGTTTTTAGTTGAACCACCCAGTTGAATAGTTTGAACCGCAACATTGCAGCAACCTCGTGCCACGGAACTAACCTATCTTTTTTGGCCTGTTTCTGCTCTTTCGTGTTTACCATTTCAAAGGGTGGCAAAATCGGCCGACTAATGCATCGAACGAGAAACCAGAAAGAGATTACGGAGTTTATTTTAGGCAAGGCCGGAAAAGCGCACAAGAATGACTCCAAAGATGAGCCGAAGTCCCTGTCAGGGAAAAGATGAGCAGAAGTCATTGGCTATTTGGCTGGACCTGCCCGGTTGCCGCAAGTTCAAGAAGAGCTCACGTGGCCAACTTGGGCGGTTTATTTGGTGGTGGTGGGTCTTATCTGCTTACCTCGTCTGTCCTTTACCAGACATCGGACCGAGCTCATTCATGGGAACGAACTGGGAGGAGAAGAAGTACAAGTACACAGCTTTTTGGACATAAATACAAGTTCATGGTTCAACTCTGGCGGAGAGAAGGGTAGAAAACGTGCGGAAACCACACTGCTAGCTTTACGTGTCAAGTAACCCCTTCCCCCTCTTTCTTCTACCTCTCTGTTTCTTCCTTCCACTCTATTCCTTCCTTCATTTCTCCCTTATTCATCTCCAATATTCCACGCCTCTTCCCTTTGACCCCTTCTCTCTTCTTGAAGATTTGTCACATACCCACCTAAAGCTTCAAAACTTCATTCTTCCTTAATTCTCGGGATTCAATCAGAATTCCCAATATTGAGGAAGTATTCCGCTTTCGTTGTTGGTAGCTGGAGAACCAGGGAAATGGAAGTGGTGCTAGCTTCGGCGCATCTCTCTTCTCATTCGAGATGTGGGTTGACTTCTTTCCAGCTCTCCCGCTCACGCCGAATCGGCCCAGTTCTGGCGTTTACTTCCACAACTAACAGTATAGCTTCTTCTTCTTCTTCTTCTAGTTTTGGTATTTCCATTTCTCATAAGCACCATCAGAGTAATCCCCTTTCTTCGAGAAGCTCTCGTTTACGTAAGAAAGGTAGAAACTTCACCGTTTCTGCTGTGTTCGAGCGGTTCACGGAGCGGGCAATAAAGGCGGTGATTTTTTCCCAGAGAGAAGCTAGAGCCTTGGGGCAGGACGTGGTTTCTGCCCAGCACCTCTTGCTTGGTTTAGTTGCCGAGGATCGCGACCCCAGTGGTTTTCTTGGCTCTGGAATCACGATTGACAAAGCTAGAGAAGTTGTTAGTGACATTTGGCAGGACGGCACCGATAAGGATCCAACTTCTACTAGTACAGAGAAGGGCGTCAAGTCCTCGACGGATATGCCATTTTCGACTGGTACCAAACTGGTTTTTGAGGCTGCTGTTGAGTATTCCAGGACCATGAAGCATAAGTTCATTGCTCCCGAGCATATAGCCATTGGGTTGCTCACGATTGATGATGGAAGCGCAGGTCGGGTCCTTAAGAGGTACATCTTTTTCCTTTCTCATCACTTGGTAGCCTGTATTTCTGGGTTGGTTGTAGTTATGATTGAATTTTTACCGTGGTTCAATTGATAGTAACACGAGAGCGTTACAGGCAAGAAGAAAGTAACATGTATCAGTTCTTACAATGGTTCCTAGTAGAAATGCTTGAAGTTAGAGAATGGTGATAGCACGATTAATCTGCTTTTGCTCTATGCTCTTGAAAAAGCTGTTGGAATGGATAGGCATGTCTAATTTTGTATTCATGGAAACTGTAATCAATGTGACCTCAGATTGGGGGCAAATGCTACTCATTTGGCAGCTGTGGCAGTCACCAAATTGCAAGGGGAGCTAGCCAAGGATGGAAGAGAAGAACCATCTGTATCCAAAGGCACTCGTGAGAAACCTCTATCTAGTAAAGCTATTGCTTTAAGATCGTCGGAAAAAGCTAAGGGTAAAAAGTTAAACTTGCTGCTGGTCATCTTTCCTTCTTTCTCTCGAGGTCCGAGGAATCACACTTTGTCTTCTACATTTGTTTCCTAGAGAAAAGTGCTCTGGCCCAATTCTGTGTAGATATTACCTCTCGAGCTGTTGAAGGACTCATTGATCCTGTCATTGGGCGCGAGAGTGAAATTCAAAGAACTATTCAAATACTTTGCCGCAGAACCAAAAATAATCCTATTCTTCTGGGTGAAAGTGGAGTTGGGAAAACAGCCATTGCTGAAGGACTAGGAATCAAGATCGCGCAGGCTGAAGTTCCTGCTTTCCTTTTAGTATGTGTTTCTGTTCCTAATTTTGGATCCTCTTCTTGTTCTTAGGTTTCCGGTTTCGGTTACTTGATCTTTCTCTTGTCCATGTCCTCCAAATATGGTGTTAATTGAGCTTTCATGTCATCAACAGGGTAAGCGTGTCATGTCTTTGGACATTGGACTTTTAATTGCTGGTGCAAAGGAAAGGGGAGAACTAGAGTCACGTGTGACTACCTTAATCAAAGAGATTCAGAAAGAAGGTGGGTTTTTTGTTCTGCCTTGGGATTTTGTTATGATCTCACAGCATTCTTGTTTCTTAGTATCAAAGTACTTCTATTGCAGGCAATGTAATTCTCTTCATTGATGAAGTCCATACGCTTGTCGGGACGGGTACAGTTGGACGAGGAAGTAAGGGAAATAGCCTAGACATTGCTAATCTATTGAAGCCAGCTCTTGGAAGGGGTGAATTACAGGTATATTATTCCTTGAATTGTTGATTGCTATTACGCTAATATCAGCAAGGATCTATACATGTGGCATTTCTTGCTTTCCCCTGGATGGTTAACTGCCTCATAAGAAACCATTTGATTCTAGCTGTTCAAGAGGACTTGCAAGAGTTCGCTGGCATTAACCAGGATCTGCTAAATTGCTAGAAATAGAAAGTGTTTCTCTTTAAATATTGACTACATATAATACATGTATGGTTGGACACATTTATCTGTTTGAACTGGGCAGAGTGATCTGTATCAGTGAAATCTTCTGTTCACTCTGTTTTCTGCTTACTGGAAAAGTTTGGTCACTGATTTTACTCTCAAAACTAAGTGTCAGTTTGGATATAGGATTCTGGATCCGCTGATGAAATTATCCAGAATAATCAGTTTGGTTGAGCTAAAACGACGGGGAAATGGGTTTAAATCCACAATTTGACACAATTGCTTTTACCGCCTAAAATGGTTATGGCTGCAGTGAATCCTCATAACAGCATGCATTCTCCTGATCAGTGTGCTGCCAGATTTATTTTGAAATAGAATACAAATGCTCAGATTCTCTTTTGGTCTACTCTTCCGAAATACTTTATTTAGTAAACATTGGCTTGCATGATGCTGGATGTGCCCTAGCCTCCTAGTGCTAACAAAAGTTTTCAGTTCCTTTTGTGTCTCTCTCCTTTAAGCTTTACTTCCATGTTGAACTAATATGCATGTATCATGCAGTGTATTGCATCCACAACTATGGATGAGCACAGGACACATATCGAAAGTGATAAAGCGTTGGCGAGAAGGTTCCAGCCTGTAATGATTAATGAACCAAGCGAGGTTGGTCTCGTACATGTTCTCTGATCTGCTATCATGGGTTATAGACAAGCTCATCTGCCACTAACTTTTCATTTTGGCATGACATGGAACTAACAATTCAGGAGGATGCTGTGATGATATTGTTGGGCTTGCGCCAAAAATATGAGGCCCATCACAACTGCAGATATACATTGGAAGCAATAAATGCAGCAGTTCACCTCTCAGCAAGGTATATTGCAGATAGATTTCTTCCTGATAAAGCCATTGATCTCATTGACGAGGCAGGAAGCAGAGCCCGTATCGAAGCTTATAGGAAAAAGAAAGAACAACAAACTGGTATACTTTCAAAGTCGCCAGGTGATTATTGGCAGGAAATCAGAACTGTTGAGGCCATGCATCAAGTGGTACGAATGCACTCTTTCAGATAAAACCTAAGCACCTCTTAATCTGGTATCAGTAACAGATTTGCTGATGTAGCTCGATTTTGCAGGTTATTGCAAGTAAGCCAAGCACTGATGATAGTAATTCGAGCATTGAGGACTCCGAAGATGTCATTTTAGAGTCGCCTCCACCTTCTGCATCTGCTAATGATGAGTATGGTCTTTTGAGCCCCAAAATCATGCTACAAGACTTCCAACTCTTTCCCAGTCGTGTTTTAACTGCATTTTCTGAATACGACTCTTTTGTTTTCAGGCCCACGGTGGTGGGGCTTGATGACATTGCCTCAGTTGCTTCACACTGGTCTGGAATCCCTGTTCAGCAGCTTACTGCTGATGAAAGGATTGCTCTGGTGGGTCTTGAAGAACAGCTTAGGAAAAGGGTTGTTGGCCAAGACGAGGCTGTTGTTGCTATATCTAGAGCCGTTAAGAGGTCTCGTGTGGGGCTCAAGGATCCTGACAGGCCAATTGCGGCCATGCTTTTTTGCGGCCCTACTGGTGTAGGCAAAACTGAGCTAACTAAAGCATTGGCTGCAAACTATTTTGGAACGGTTAGGCTTATTGTTTGATCACCCTTTAACATATTGCGTTTGGTTAACTGTTCGATGATTTAAAGTTTAGTGGTATACATATGTTGCAGGAGTCCGCCATGCTGAGATTGGACATGAGTGAATACATGGAGCGACACACAGTGAGCAAACTAATAGGGGCACCCCCAGGTTATGTTGGTTATGGCGAGGGAGGGACTTTGACAGAAGCAATTAGAAGACGACCTTTCACTTTGGTTCTGCTCGACGAGATAGAGAAAGCCCACCCAGATATCTTCAACATCCTCCTCCAAGTCTTTGAAGATGGCCAGCTCACAGATTCTCAGGTTTCTTACCATCATCAATTTAAAAGGGACTTATTGTTTCAGGATTATTGACAGGCATGTATTTGCGTTCTGCTACTGAGGTACTTCAATTCTCATCCTGGAAAACTCATGTGTTTTTTACAGGGTCGCAGAGTCTCATTCAAGAATGCATTGATAGTCATGACCTCGAACATTGGATCTTCTGCCATTGCAAAAGGCGGACGTACTTCCATCGGCTTCATACTTTCAGACGATGAATCTGCTTCTTACGCTGGAATGAAGGCCTTAGTACTCGAAGAACTCAAATCATATTTCCGCCCCGAGTTGCTGAACAGAATAGACGAACTGGTCGTATTCCGTCCTCTCGAGAAGTCTCAGGTTCGTTCCCATCATCGTCCATTCACCACCCTAAAAGTAGTGTGGTATATCAATGCAATCTTGACTCGAACGCCCTAAAAAAACCTGCTCTTACTGATCATATGTGCTCTCACAGATGCTGGAAATTGTGAACATGATGCTGCAAGAAGTTCAAGGAAGGCTGATCTCTCTCGGAATCGGGTTGGAGGTATCCGAATCGATCAAGGATCTGGTGTGCAAGCAAGGGTACGACCCGGCTTATGGCGCCAGGCCGCTCAGGCGAGCAGTCACTAACATAGTTGAGAACCCTCTGAGTGAAGCATTGCTTGGTGGAGAGTTCAAGCCGGGCGACACAGCTATTGTGGATGTAGATGCAACGGGGAACCCGGTGGTTGTAAATCGGGCGTCGGAGAGGAGCATCCACTTAACAGACACAACTACGCTCTTGTAATTAATTGGTGTTCTATATGTTAGGAAAAGTTCATCAAGTGTATATAATAATGAACGAGCTTAGGTGAAGGCCAGATTCATTGACGTGATCGCAGTTGGCGGATTCGGTTCCCAAGTGTATATGTAAAGGAGCAATGGAGCATCAATCAATACATTTGGCCAACTTAAAGACAGCCGACTTCTTACTTGTTATGGCGCAGACATGGGTGTGCAACAGATTGATCCATACAAGACCATACCTAACCAAATCGATGTTTGTATATGATCATACTATACCGAATAGAATATAATGTGGTCTAATTTACGGTTCAATGAATTTTGTAAATACTGGAGAAAAGAAATAAGACCCAACACGATTAAATGTGACTGAAGTAGTGTTAATAAATTGACAAATTAGGGGTTTTTCAATTTTAATGTCTTTTTAATACTCTTGTTTTAAATGTGTGTAAGATATTCTTTTTTCCTCTAGGCATTATTACTATTTCTATATTATCGAAATATATGGTTGGGAGAGTTATTATGTATGTATTACGTATAATATTCTAGTTTATGAAATATTATTTATTAGCATTAGACCACTATGACGTGAACCACTCACTTGCTATACCGCGACTAATGCTCCTATTCGGTTCTGACAATTGAAACTCTCTTCAATCCCACTAGTTTGGAAAAAAATGGGTCTCACTTCTAACGAGATTCAACCTGATTATATATGTGTTCAATTTGGGTAAACGGATGCGGTTGTTTTGAAGTGACAATCAAAGGGCATGAGAATATGATTATCTATGAAGCAACACTGGCCAAGAGGTGCATATTGCCAAAACCAAAGGCTTATTCCCAAACCATCTCCAACAGAAACACAAAATTCATATTAAACAAGACAATCACAAAAAATTAGGCGACCAACAGTAACCCACTACGAAGATAATCTGCAGATTCTGCGGCCAGTCTCCATCACACCAATCCAGCAGACTCCTCCGGGAACAAAAGGCAATGGCAATCAACCAACATTTACTCCATGCAAAGCACTGCACGGCAAACAGCCACATCTATGGCGAAATGGTCGAAGGGGGAACAACTGCGGTCCATCCTTGTCATTCATCTGTTGCACCACATTACCTGAAGCACTGCCAGAACTCCATGCAAGGCACTGAACCGCCACCATCCACAGTTATGGCGAAATGGTCACAGGGGGGAACAACAGCAGTTCGCCCTCGTCGTTCATCTGTTGCATCACATGACCTGAAGAAGCACTGCCAGATTCTCGACTTCTGTTAGCTTTCTAGTTGGGGCGCTTTACTAGAAGCCCTCTTGAAATCGCCATCGACGAAAGTGATCATCATCCCCCAACACCTATGCATTCTCCAATCAAAACATATGCGCCTTCGTTGACAAGAAGCAATCTGACTCAACTTCCTTAGTCCATCCACCAAGACATTAACAAAAAGAACTAAAATATAGATAGAAACACCTTCTGGTCATGGGTTTGCAGCATCTCCAAAACTGCTGTTCTTATCACTAATGGTAAGGGGAGATCATGATTCTCATATCAACCCACTGCCACATCAATATTTTGCGTCAGGAATCGTGTGGTCAGAGTATGTGTTTCAATAGGAGCCTACGTCTTTAGGTACTCAACAGCAAGCAAACATAAATCCATGACCCACTTGAACTAATTGCCTACTCCGTAATAAGATCATAAGACTAGCACAAACTTACAGTAACCACAAAAACACTTCACAGATCAGCTCAGAGTCAGCTTTTTGTAGCCATTTTCCAAATAAATATTGACGTATAAAGTAAAGTGTGCAATTAGTTGAAGTATGGTAGAAGAAACATCCAGGCTTGCTCAACCTGCAATAACAGTCACTTGTGGCAATATTACAAGTAAACCACGAACAGAAAAACTAAAAAAAGAGATCACATCACAACTGGTCGGACACCACACACAGTACATGACTTGCAATTTCATATGATACATATACCATTAAAAAAGAGAGCCGAGCGATTATAAAACGAGAAAGCACTAATTTGTCCATAATGATAAGAGCTTTCAAAAGGTTTTCAGTTCAGCCTTGCTGACTCCATAAGGTACATATATCTGGGATGAAAGTCATCAAACTGTTCGCAAAGCTTTAAAAGCAAATACCCAAACTGATCATACAATACTTTTAAATAAGTGCCAACAGCACAAGGAAAAAAACCAAGAAAATGAAAATAAACTTCATTTGACTTTTTTTAAGATCTGGCCTTTGTAGTAACCAAATAGTAACATTTGACCACATTTATAAACTTCATTTGCATAAGCTCCATAAACTTCAGAAGAATCACCAAGCCAGTATCTAAAACACTGAGGCACCTATTAGGATCTGCAAAATGAATGAGAAGCATAAAAAGCAATTTCAAAGAAGAAATTATTTCAGACACAAATCCTTAAAAGAAATGGTTGAAGAATTGTGATAGAGCTAGTTAAGAGCTGGAGTATAAGTACAGTGACTGGCTGACCTTTATTATCTCAAGAACATAAAACAGTTATTTAATAACTTAAAAGGCAATGGATCAGGAATAATCAATGTAACTGAAGCAATAAAAACAAATTTAAAAAGCAGCCAACTTAAACCTTTTTATGGAGTTGCTTGGCAATGAACGAGAAACACTAAAAAGCAGCTTGATGACTATTTGAAGCAAACTACTCTATTCAAATTTTCTGAGATGCGCCACCAGAAGAAAACAAAAAATAGTAGCCTAGAATACTTCTTGAAAGTCCAGCCTAATGACCAATTGCTAACGGTACAGCAATGTTAGTGTCTATTCATGCAAACGCTACAGCAAGGTTAGTGTCTATTCATGCTAACGTCTGGTCAAGAAAATCTTATACCATTTCAATTGAACATATATGTTTTTATGCTGCTGTCAATGAACTATCTATTATAGGTCAACAATTGAACAAAATAAAAGGAGTTCAACACGATGTTCATACCTGAAAGACCTAGTGATTCATATAAGGGGCTGCACCACCGTATTGCGGATGTTGTCCTCTACCAGGACCACCCTGACCCATCTGTTGGCTTGCATAGCCACCAGGCATCCCCTGGTTTGCATAGCCCATCACTCCCGGGCTTATACTTGGCTGGTTACTGTATGCACTCTGCATTCCAGAAGATGGCACACCACCTTGATTGACTGCAGCAGTACCCAGAGTTCCCAGCACATTAGTCAAACCCAAGCCAGCACCTTGGGTTGCAAGCAAAGCCGTTATCGCCTGGCCAAGAGCAGGGTTCAGTGCTTGAGCCGCAGCAGCACCGTGGTTGAACCCAATTCCAGCTCCAGTTGTGGGTACCATCATGTGACTAGGCGCTCCACCAACATATGGAGATGGATCATTCCTCGGATAATGAGAGCTCTGCGCATGATGGTGTTGCTGCCGCTGTTGTGGAGCTTTTCCAGGTTTAGGCCCATCAATAGCTTTCTGGCAGTGCAAAATATGACCCTCGAAGTTCTTATGTGGCTCCTCAAGAGCCCTCTTGGCGCTTTCAGGGCTTCTGTACACAAACAAACAGAAACCCTTTGGCTTACCAGTCATCTTGTCAAGCCCCAGTGGCCCTTCTTCAATCTCCCCATACTTGGCAAAGAAGCTAGTCAGCTTATGTGGATCCAGATCTGCGCCAACGTTACTCACATAAATTTTCCTTTGAGTGTATTCCGAAGCTTGCTGCGCAACAGGAACCACAGGGGCCGGCGCCTGCACAGGGCCGATGGAGGCAAGCTGACAAGCAGTCATCCTGTTGCCGATCTTTTTCTGTGGTTCCCTAAGCGCCTTCCGGGCTCCACTCCGCCTCTTGAAGAGAATAAAACCATAGCCCTTGGATTTCCCAGAAACCTTGTCCGTCACCGCCTTGCAATCCTCGATCTCTCCATACTGCTTGAAGGCTGCAATCAGGGTCTCGGCGGTGGTGTCCCAGCCCAGCCCGTGAACAAAGATCTTGCGGTGAACGGGATCCTCATCGGCTATCCTCCGGATGCGATCCGCCACATCGCGGTGGATCTCCGCAGCATCGCGGAGCAAATTAGCCAGCTGATCCTTACTAAACGGTTCGAGAAGCTTCTCAATCGGCTCCTCGTCGTCGTCGTCGTCCGGAGCCGACGCCGCCGCAGAAGAAGAACCGATCTGCTTATCCCCTTCGTTCGCATCTTCGCCGCCGTCCTCCTCCTCTTGCACTTCTTCTTCCTCTTCCTCCACCTCCTCCTCCACTTCTTCCACCTCCTCCTCCACTTCTTCGGCCACCACCTCCTCTTCTTCTACCTTAACCTTCTTCGCCTCTTCTTCTTGCAGCTTCTGCAGCTGCAGCTGTTGTTGCTGCTGCTGCTGTTGTTTCTTGGGCGGCCCCGACGATGCAGCGCCTTTCGAAGCGTCAAGCTTTCGCTTCTTCGCCATCGCAGCTTACTACAGGCGAACGGAAGAAGAAGAAGAAGACAAGAGAATTAGGAAGAAGAGTGTCGGTAGCAAAATCTAGGGATTGAAATTCGGCGGCTAGGGTTTCAGATTTCGGGGATCTTGTTTCAATCGGATAGTTGGATGCTAGATAGAGTTAGATCGAAGGAAAACGGCAATTCCGTTTGGGCCTAGAAGTTGCAGCTCGAATGGGGCCTTGCTTAATGGGCTAGCGGGAGCCCAACAAGTTGGACGGGCCCAGCTTCGAGTCAATCGGCAGCCCCACTGGGCCACTAGGGGATTAATAAACTGCTAGTTGTTGGCATGTGTGTTTCCGTCACGTGGGTGGGAAAGTTGGCATTCGCCGCGCCGGAGAGGCCGACTACACCAGACCAGACCAGAACCAAAGACCTTTCAAACCTTACCTTGACCAGTTGCCAGCTGGGGTGGGAATGGGTCAACGCTGTTTGGTTTCGATCAAAGTCAATAAACTCAACTTTGGGGGACCATTTCAGAAGTTTGCCTCTTTCCATTGCAAGCTTCCGAGTTTGTTCTCACCATGAGAGCATCTCAAGAGTGATATTCCATCAAGATGAGTTGGGTGATGATGTGGCAATGACATATGTAGTAGTGATGATGTGGCAATGACAAAGGTAGTAGTGATGATGTGGATGTAAATTTGCATCATGTGAAAATCATCATGTAAATGGAAAGTGAGTTATTTTTTTATTTCTTTTTTTTCCGTCATTTGCTTTAACAAATTGTTTTCGACCCTTTTTTATAATTATTATTTTGAATCAAGTTTGGTTAGATGAGTTTAATAACATCCAGATATTTATAATTATTTTTCCGATTGAGAATTTTACACTTCAAATGTTTATATTTTTTCTTAGAAAGATCGATGTTACAGCGGGCAACATGGTCCATTTGTTGTAATCTCATGAAAAACATATGGGCCGATTTGTTATATAAATATTTGCCTTGTATAATGAGTCAACTAAGTAACTTGTATGATTGGTTAATTCATTTTAACAGTTGGACCTTTTTTGTCAATAAATTCTCTACCGATTGGCAAAGAGATTAAAGAGCACGAAATTTTATAGATCGATTTAAAATGATAGCCTCTAGCATGTTCGTTTTGCCATTTTGACCACCATACACTCTACTTGGCCAAATTCAACATAAGCGATTTGCTGCTCCTCCATAGGATCTAAACTGTGGATTGCTATTGATGCTTTCTTTCTGAAGCCATAAAATCACGCACAAATGTTCTTCCAGCCGATGTGGCAATTCACGTCCTACTGGAAATCTCTATATCTTTGAATGGCTTTCATATGACTTTGAGTAAAATCTTTATTACCTTCACCCTTCTTCAAAAGCAATGTTCGACCTAGCATGTTTAATGTTTGTGAAATGTATGTGATCTTAGGATGCCACATCGAGCAGGCGATGCTAACCAGGTTAGGATGATATCGCGCCAGATCATATAGTTGGTATCTGATCAGGTTGTTGATATCGTGTCTTGCAACAGGTCATGCAACATACTCAAGTGAATCGATTTTGTATTACCATAACTATGTGGTCCATTCAAGGGTGCTCAAACTTTTCACGGTGAAATTATTTCTCGCCTTAAAACTTAAAAGCCTCTTTGTTCATCCGACGAATCTATCTACCTACAAATGTTTACCCCACAAAGTCAAGTCACCAACGACTACTTAAGTGCTCGCACTAGTGGATGAGAAAAGTCTCAAATTTACAAAAAAGAAAGAAAAAGAAAGCCTGGCAGATAAGAAAGGGAACCTTCCCACGTAGTTTTCTTTTCCCCTCACGATTAAAATTAAGTATTACTCTGATTAATTTCTGTATCCGCCAAAGTCTTCATATTAAGCTCCAATTAAGCAACTAAGCCCTCAATTAACTCCAAAACCCGAGGTCTTTAGGCAATAAATTAATTACCACTTCCACTTTCTTAAAAAAATGATTCATGTAACGACCCCAGATTAATTTCCATAATACAGTTGACTGTTCACTCCTTTTTCCCATTACCCACCACTTTCTTCCCCCTCTCCGCGTCTATATATATAAACTCCGCCATGGCTGCCTGCCTCAGAAAATCACAGATAAGCCAAGTCCAACATAGCAGGCAGACTGCTTCCCCTCTCTCCCCCAATTTCGCAACTTTCTACTTTTCTTCTAGCTTCTTTTGCCCTTCCCGGGGAACTTGGTCTCTGAGTTCCGGCGCCGACGAAGCAAAAGAAAACAGAGCAATCTGAATCTTCCCATAAAGTCGGAATCTTATCCTAGGAGAGGGAAAACAGAGCAAAAAGCAAACAGGGTAATCTGAAATTCAGATTCCAGAGATACCCAGATTCAAGATATGAGCAAAGAAGACCACCGTCTCCCGATGGAGACGGAGCTCGTCGGAGCTGACAGGGTGCCCAACAGCGGGCCGTTGAGCGGCCCGTTAAGCGGGCCTCTGAACAAGAGAGGCGGCACCGCCGGAGGAAAAAAGAGCGCCAGATTCAACTTACCGGAGACGAGCTCTGTTTCTTCCTCTGCTTCTTCAGCTCGGGACAGCAACAACGACTACGTCGAGATCACGCTCGACGTCAGGGACGACTCCGTTGCCGTCCACAGCGTCAAGCCAGCGAACGGCGCCGAGGAGGATCCGGAGATGACCCTTCTAGCAAAAGGCCTGGAGAAGCGAACGGCTTCCAATTTAGGTTCGTCGGTGGTGAGGAATGCTTCGGCCAGAATCCGTCAGGTCTCGCAGGAGCTGAGGCGGCTGACCTCGATCAACAGGCGGCCCGCGGGCAGGCTCGAGAGGACGAAATCGGCGGCCGCGCACGCTCTCAAGGGGCTCAAGTTCATCAGCAAGGCCGACGGCAGCTCCGGGTGGCTCGCCGTCGAGAGGAGGTTCGATGAGATCACCGCCTCCACCGCCGACGGGATGCTCCCCCGTGCCCGGTTCGGGGAATGCATAGGTATGAAGGATTCCAAGGAATTCGCCCTGGAGCTGTACGATACTCTGGCGAGGAAGAGGAACATTCGTGGGGATTCAATCAGCAAGTTCGAGTTGAAGGATTTCTGGGATCAGATTTCGGATCAGAGCTTTGATTCCAGGCTCCAGACTTTCTTCGACATGGTTGATAAAGATGCAGATGGCAGAATTACTGAAGAGGAAGTCAAGGAGGTAAGAAAAGGATCCAACTTTACCTAAACCCCAATAGTTGACCAGCTCCATTCTTGCAATGAATTTGAAGCATGTGCTTGAGATTCAGAGTTTTCCCCTTTTTCTCGTAATTTAATCAGTAGGGATATTCTGTTGCAGATCATCACCCTTAGTGCTTCTGCAAACAAGCTCTCGAACATCCAGAAGCAAGCAGAGGAGTATGCAGCTCTGATCATGGAAGAACTCGACCCAGAGCACCATGGATTCATCATGGTAAAAAGAATAACACAATCTATAGTTTTGCTCTCCATAATATGCAGCAAGACAAGGTTTCCTGATGCGTTGTTTCTTAATGCTTTAACAGATAGAGAGCCTGGAAATGCTTCTGCTGCAAGGACCAAACCAGTCAGTGAGATTAGGAGAAAGCAAGAATCTGAGCAAGATGTTGAGCCGGCAGCTTCGGTCGACATTGGACGAGAACCCAATCAAGAGAAGGCTGAGAGAAGCAAAATACTTTCTGCTCGATAATTGGCAGAGAGTTTGGGTGCTGGCTCTGTGGATTGGGGTCATGGCAGGCCTGTTCGCTTACAAGTACGTGCAGTATCGCAACAGAGCTGCGTACGAGGTCATGGGCGTGTGCGTGTGCATGGCCAAAGGTGCAGCTGAAACGCTGAAACTGAACATGGCTATCATCTTGCTCCCAGTCTGCCGAAACACCATCACCTGGCTCCGCAACAAGACCAAGCTGGGAGTCGCGGTTCCTTTCGACGACAACCTCAACTTCCACAAGGTGATAGCAGTGGCAATCACGATTGGGGTGGGAATTCACGCCATAGCCCATCTTGCTTGCGACTTCCCGAAGCTTCTGCAAGCGAGCGACGAGAAGTGGGAGCTGATGGAGCCGTTTTTCGGGGACCAACCGTCGAGCTACTGGCATTTCGTGAAGTCGGTGGAAGGGATAACGGGGATCGTGATGGTCGTCCTCATGGCCATAGCTTTCACACTTGCCACTCCTTGGTTCAGGAGGAACAAGCTCAACTTGCCGCCGTTCCTGAAGAAGCTCACAGGGTTCAATGCGTTTTGGTACTCCCACCATCTGTTCGTCATTGTCTACGGGCTGCTTCTAACCCACGGTCACTTCCTCTACCTCACCAAGGAATTCTGGAAGAAGACTGTAAGTTGTGCCTTGCTTCGACTAAATCCCTTTGTTTTCTTTTATCATCACTAGAATGTTTGATTGGAAAACTGATGAGCTCGCTTGATGACAGACCTGGATGTACGTGGCTGTTCCAGTCGCGCTTTATGCGAGCGAGAGGCTGACTAGGGCACTGAGATCCAGCATTAAGGCTGTCACAATCAAGAAGGTGGCCATTTATCCTGGAAACGTCTTGGCGCTTCACATGTCGAAGCCGAATGGGTTCAGATACAAGAGTGGGCAGTACATGTTTGTGAATTGTGCTGCTGTGTCTCCATTTGAATGGTAGCCACCCCACCCCACCCCATTCTAGTTTGAATGTTTGTTTCTTTCCCATTTTGGTTTCTGGGTTTAACACTGCAGGGAATTTGTGCTACAGGCATCCATTCTCCATCACTTCAGCTCCTGGAGACGACCACCTGAGCGTCCACATCAGAACGCTGGGCGATTGGACGAGGCAGCTCCGAACTGTGTTCCAAGAGGTGTGTCAACCACCTGCAACAGGGAAGAGTGGACTCCTTAGAGCAGATGAATTCCAAGGAAACAACAACCCTGAGTAAGTCCTTCACATCTATGCACAATCTATTTACAACTTGGGGGGAAGAATCTATGACGACGATGATGATGAACATTATCCCACCAACCATTAGCTGGCATGAATTGGCAGCATTTCAGCAGGGGATATAAACATATTTCATCACGATGTCAAAGTACATGACAAGCACCAACCACAACAAACAACAAAGTGAAGCAGCCATCCTTTTTTAGCAGTGGCTTATAATATAATCCATCTTTTAGGTGTTGCAGCCACTTGGGTACAACAAAATCCCAAAAAAACTGGCTGGATCAGTTCACATTCCTCTATCTATCCCATTCCCTGCCAGCCTCCCATTGTCTTTAGTATTATTAATCAGCAGCCAAAAGCAAGCTTGCTTTTGTATAATTAATTGTTAATACGGTCAGATTAGGCAACCACATTATCCTTGGCAACCCACAAACAAAGGTCTAAAACCTTTTTTGGCTTGTTTCTTTCTACTTGTGCAGCTTCCCGAGGATCTTGATCGACGGGCCATATGGAGCACCAGCGCAGGACTACAAGCAATACGAGGTGGTGCTGCTCGTCGGGCTGGGAATCGGGGCGACCCCAATGATCAGCATCGTGAAGGACATCGTCAACAACATGAAGGCCTTGGAAGGGGAAGACAACAAGGACTTGGAGAACGGAATGAGGACTCCCAGCCCGCCGCCTGCAGCGATGGGCGGCGGCTCCAACAGCAAGAGGAAAGAGCAGTTCAGGACGAGGAGGGCCTACTTCTACTGGGTGACGAGGGAGCAAGGCTCCTTCGACTGGTTCAAAGGGGTGATGAACGAGGTTGCGGAGCTCGACCAGAACCAAGTCATCGAGCTCCACAACTACTGCACCAGCGTGTACGAGGAAGGCGACGCTCGCTCCGCCCTCATTGCCATGCTCCAGTCCCTCCACCATGCTAAGAATGGGGTCGATATCGTGTCGGGGACACGTGTCAAGTCCCACTTCGCCAAGCCCAACTGGCGGAACGTGTTCAAGCAGGTCGCAGTCCACCATCCTAATTCCCGAGTTGGTACGTATGCACTTCCATGAATACAGTCAAATGCGTTATTCTACATTGAAGTGTTTTGGTGATTTAGAAACCTAAAAAAAACAAACTATTAAGCCTTAGAAAGCGAATTTGATTACATTTTCCACATGTTTATTTATGTGTTAGCCTTGCATTTCTAACTCATCCATTGTGCTTTTTTTATAATCTACACAGGGGTGTTTTATTGTGGGGCACCAGGATTGACGAAGGAGCTGCGCAACTTGGCTCTGGATTTCTCCCACAAGACCAGCACTAAGTTTGATTTCCACAAAGAGAACTTCTAAGAATAAACAAAAGTAAACACCAGCCGCCCCATCCACCCATACGAGACGACAAGAGAAGGGAAGAAAAGAGAGACGTGAGCAACATTTCTTTGACTTCTATCATTGGGGCTTTTTCTCTCCACTTTCCTTTTCCTTCTATGATTTTCTTTTTTGATCTTTCTGATGTTGATGATCAAAGTGTATTTTATTCTTTTATTTATATAAACGTAGATGTTGTAGTTTTATTCAATGATTTAGAAACCTTATAGTACCGCCCGGTCGGACCGAAATACCGGATACTGAACGGTAGGTGGTTTTAGCAATACGAAATGGTTGAATCATATGATTCAATCACGATTTTAGTACAAAATATCATACCATTTTTTTCTGTATAACTTTCGGTACAATTTCACACTCATAGGTGTTACTATAGATAGCATACAGAGAGGGATAGTGACTTAGTGAGATGAATGATTGAGGAGGGTGGGGATAGGTGCTGGAAAGTTGAACCACCCTAAGGGTGATGTGAGCCTGACCTAAAATGTCCACAAGTGACGTCCTGCTCATCAGTTTTATGCTGCTTCCCCTTTTACTAGTCTGGTTTTTCCCACTTTCCTGCTTGATATCCCAACTTTTTATCTATAGATGTGACTCATGTGAGAAGGGCGTGTTACTGGTCCCCTCTGTTGTTGTAATTATCTGTAAAATGATTAATCAGTTAACTATCTATTGATCTAAATCAAAGATTTTTTGTTTCACTTATAAGTACTAACCATGTCAGTGGTTTTCAATCCTTGTGACTTGACATTCCCACTCAAGTGGAGTCAGTAGGATTCGGAATCAGGAATGTGTAACATCCCTTTCCAAACGAGTGAATGTGATAAAATCCGGCAGAATAAGGGATTTGAGACAAATCCCTCATTCCAAACGACCCCTAGAATCCTCTATACGTGTGTAAATCCCCAGTAAAAAAGAAAGAAACGAAGAACAACTTCAGGCTACCTACTGGTTCTCTCGAAAAGTAAACGTTCTGAAAGGTTAAAGCGGAAAATGTGCTGACCTGGCCGGTAGAGATCCATCTCTCATGTTTTTCTGAGCTTCCTCTTTGGTCTTTGGAAGAAGGGTTTCATCAACTGGGTTGAACTCGAGGGTTGCTCAGCTGCTTGGGAAGGCTGGAAAGGAATGAGCGGCCTCTTCATTGGCAATGATATCTCCGAGACATTGCTGCTGCTGCTGGTGGTGGTTGCGACAGTTGGAGAAACTGCCTTTGCTTTTAACTGTCTAGGCAATTCCAGCCTCTCCAATATCCTCCAAGTTTTCACATCCACCTGCTTGCTGCCATCTGCTGTTGTTGCTGGAGGAGACAGGACTGACTCGTTGGATCTTGGTTTCGAGATACAGCTGGTGGAAGAATGTACCTTGGGGGATTCATGCACGACCACCAACTGTTCCCATTCTTCCGAAATCGTAGGACTGCTGCTTTTCTCCTCTCTCCCTGCTGCTACATCCATCTTCAGCAGGTTTTCCTCTTCCAGGACTATGGCCTCCAGCTCCCCGTCTGATAAGTCAACCACCTCTGATGAATCTGCCAACAGACTAGGTGCTGCATCCAACTTTTCTGGGATTGACCTAAGAATAGACATCCGACACAAATTGTAAGCAGAAATTGGCGGGAATATATGACATTAAGAGACAGGTTTTGAGTTGTTGCAAGTAGCACAGTGGTGCAGGAGAATATTTTAGTGCAAGTATAGAGTTAAAGCACTAGAAGTAACGATAGTCACCCGAATTGTAGGCTCTGTTTTACAAGCGAATTCAGCTTCTGATGGAAGCCTCTCTCGTGCAGGAGAGGATTATAGTCACTTAATTCCATCTGCGAGAGGTGCAGGTAAATGGGAAAGGATAAAAGTTCAGTCAAACTTATTTGTTCATGTGAATTGCAGCACTCACAATCTGGGGGACAAACCAAGTTGATTTCAAAGCGGAAAGAAAGGAGAGTAAAATTTTTTACCTTCAACAACACGGCATGAATGGAACTTTGAATCTCCTGAGGGATTGATGGACTAGCAATTCGATTGACATCAGGCATAGGCAAAATTTCTTCTGAGCCTAACAGACGCTGCAAGAAGTAAAGCTTTCAGTCAAGCAGCATAACAAACAGAAAACGTGGAAGCAAAAAAATTGACTGTTTAAATTTATTCGTGGTTTAGAATCAAGTCAATATGATGATGGGAGTTTGTTATTCACCCTCAGAAGCATCGGCCCATTGTCTGAAGGCTGGAGAATGTAAAAACAGTTGAAAGCTGCTCCCAACATAGTATCTAGATTGCCATTTGAAGAGCATACCAAGCCTTGGTCCATTGAGTACAAAGCACGGCATATTCCTCCGAAAACTGCAATACAACATATCGGTGTAAAATTCCGATATAATGGGGTTCCATGAGTAAACAAGGTTGCAGAACACAATGAACTGAAGTTACTGTGCTAGTTTCAGAAAAAGGAATTTCTTGCAACCATCCCCCAACATTTATACCACTCTTAATTACCTTGAGCATTCAGTTTTGTCTTATCTTCATTACTGGAAATCCCTATTGTATGATAGTCTGTCGGCGTTACAACGTAAGACGAGCCAATAATGACACCTGTGCTTCCAAAAATGTAACAAGAAGTGGGAGTTTAAAAGTAAATCCTACTATATAAGAACCAACTTCACAAGGAGTAGATCAAACATGACTGACAGACACAGAGACAGGCAAAGAGAGAGAAGCAGGAAGTCATTTCAAGCATGCTAACGCCGGATCATAAATTATCCAATACTTTCATTGCAGGGAAACAATTATCGGTAACATAAGAAACACATATGCAGGATATCCACTAATCAACTCCAAATTTCAAACTATGACTTATCAACAAGCAAACTTCTTAGCTTCAATGGAAGTGTATTTCATTGCCGTCATGATGAACACTTTGATAGACAAGAGGCAGCCACCACGTGCAGAGGGATAATGTACAGTCTCCAACGTTTTATAATTATTTCAGTCAGGGAACAGTACCTTCACTTAAAGAGCTTAGGTTGGTTCTCTCAATGATGTTGAATTCAATGGGGTTAGACACTCGTTGCAGCTTTATAGAGCTATGGGAAGAGGGCATATACAGTATTGTTCTCTCGCCAATTCTAACAGAATTCTCGACAACATCAGATGCTCCAAGAACATTCTCAGTGAATGGACAAGAAAGCATCTCAGCTCTCTCCTTTGCCGCATGGTGTAATAGAATGCCATGACACCTGCATGTCTATAGGTAATGAACTGCGATCGTAATTCAATCCTCACACTAAGAGGTAAAAGCTAGCAAACTGACCATTATAACATGAAATCAAACAGAAAGGGTTACTACCTGGCAGGTACTGAAATCATCCACAATTTGATTGACGGTGATGGATAGGCAACAGAGTATCTGATTCTGATCTCCTACTAGGCTATCTCTAAAGTTAAAACGAGCCAGCAAGGGCTCTTCCCTTTCGTCTCTTAGATCAATGAACCAGCGCTTTGTCAGGCCATTGAACATTCCACCACCTGCAAAACTCATGGATCAAAACCAAACACAATATCACCTGCAAAAGCACATTCTACAAAGAGCTTTGTTTTTCTGATTAGCCCCTCCGGCTCTGACTGACAGTAGAATTGCTCAACAACAAACTTCAGAAGAATGTAGCACTTTCCAGCACATGACATAAATTAAAAGGACTGACCATAAAGCAAAGCTGATTAGCAGAAGCAAAGTAACCACTCATCAAATTCAAAACTCGTCACTTAAATAAGCAAGAAACCTTAACCTGGAATATGACTTTCCACGGAACAATTGCGAAGATGAGATAAGTCTCCCATGAAGCTGCTCGTGTTCTCCATCTCATTGCTGAGACTTGAAATTTGCTTAATGAAGGCAAACTCCACAGTTACACCATGATCTGCAGCGTCCTGTTTAATAACGAAGCTTAAAGGTAAGATCATCTGGTAGAGTGAACCACAAGGAAAAAGGGGAGTTTGCCATTTGCCTCACCATAAGAAGCTTCTTATCAACCTCCTCTATCTTTAGAGGCAAATACGAGCTCAAAACAATCATTTTCTTCTTGACATCTCTACCTCCCCAGGAATAAAGCACTTGATCATTCAGAACACTCGAAAGCTTCATATCCACTAGCAGTCAATCAATCCACTCATTTGTCAATTCATCGAGCATGTTCAGTGCGAATCACAGAAGGAAGAGAGAAAAGCTTCGTTACCTCGGCTACATAGATCCCCGAAATCGCCGATCTCCGGCAGACAACATTCCGCCGGCAAGTTGTCAACGGCGTGGTGGAAATCACGGAGACTGAAGTCTCCTCGAGGACTGTACCCGACTTTGAGCTGTCCAAACTCGCCTCCAATCCATTCATTTCCGTCGAAGATAACAGAAAAAAGTGAAAATAACACTTAAAGTACAGCGGGTGGAAGAAGCAAAAGAAACACCTCAACTGAAGAGGAACTCCGGTCCTCGAAGACGTAGCACAATCCAATCCTGTCTCCGGCGCCGACCGGGTTCCGCCGCGAAGACGAAACGGCGTAGTAATTGGCTAGCTGCAACAAACACTGTCCACAAATCCGCAATTTCCATTACTCAATCAACCGACATGCAGACGGCCACTGCCGCCATTGATCTCCGCGGAGCTAAGTTCTCGCTTGCTGAAACAAAATTGGACAATGCATATCGATTGTTACCTGCTTTAGGTCAGCAAGCAAGGAAGGGGATAGGCCTCGAAGATCCAGGACGAAGCACAGGAGCGCCATTATTCTCCTTCTCTTCCTCCTTCCCTGAGATCAACTTCCGTGAACTTCTTTTACTTCTTTGGCGCGGAAGGAGAGATATAAAACTGCTACTTCAAAACAAGAATGGCCATAGTCCTACCAGTCACGCGCAGGGGAGAATGAAAGGAAACGAAACGAGAACGGGGGTAGTAAAATTATGAAATAGTACCCTCTATTCACATATCTTCCCAATAATGTCCCTTAATGTTTGGTAGTTGCGATTGTATTATGACTTGTGCGATTGTTATTGTACATGTATTGTTTATAATGCATAATTTTTTTTATGTTTTAGCGGTTTCTGTGATATAACAGAAACTATCACTCAAAATGAGAGATTGTTATATTTCAGATTTTAGTTGAGATTGTTTAGTTGAGATTGTATTGTCTCAGCTTTGAGCTGATGTGACATACACAATCACACATACCAAATGTTGTATTTTACTGACTCGCTACTAGCCTACTACTACACCACAAAAGAAATCCAGACTAGAGCCCAAGTATAAACTCTAGCTAGGTGCAGTATAGGGCAAGCGTTTTAATTGTCAAACCTGGGCTGACCCATGTACCCCTACTTTCAATCGATTAAATTGTTATCCAACAAACGATTTTGGGTTTAAAACTAAAAAAAAACTACATAAGAAAACAAGCAGGAAAAGTAAATTGCGGAGAATTCTATATGAGAGGACTTCACCCGGATATTGCTTCCCCTAGTCTCATATTAAGAGACCATGAACGAAATTCTAGAGTGAATGATGTATTTATAAACCGCGAGGTGGGTGCAACTAGTTAGGAAACCCTAACTCTCTTAGTAGATCGATTAAGGATTGCAACTATAAACTAGGTGGCCTAACTCTCTTAGCTATTCGCCTAAGGATTGCAACTTAAGGCTAGAAAATCTAGCCATCTTGACCAATCGAACAAGGATTGCAAGAACCAATC